TTGAAACGTAACGTTTGTCAGAGCATCATCAAGCTGACGCTTGAAAGATACTAATGTTGGGGCACAGACCACGTGGGCTGGTAGAGAGTTCCATGTGCTGCACACTCTACTGCAAACGAGTGACGTCTGCAGTCGAGACGGCTCTTTTGGTGTGCCAACTTCAGCAGATGCTCTCTGAGATGAACGTTGTGCGATAAAACCAGCAGAGATCTACAGGGGTGGTTGGGTTGTTGGAAAATCCGATAAAGTAAAATCATATCGTCTCTGATTCGACGAAATTGGGATGAGTATAGCCCCAGGAGCTGTAATCTTTCTCCATAGGTCTTGGGATGCAAACCTTTGACCATTCTCTGTGGATGTTTGAGTGCCTTCAGATCTCGCTGCAACCATGGGTTCCAGGCTTGAATTGAGTACTCAGTATATGGACGAGTATACGTGGCTAGCAGACGTGGAAAAAAAGTGTTAGGTAAAAAGACTATTTTTACCTAAAACTGACTATTTTTTGAGTATCTTCAATTAGAAGCATCTCTAATCAATACTAATCTCGCGGGGAATAATCAATCATATCGTGTCATACGGAGACTTTCACTCCGTCCGTCCGGTCGGTGACTTATGATCGATTGAACTTTGCTAATTCTGTGACTTATGATCGATCGAACTTTGCTAACTGTGTACTTGATTGGCATAATCTTTTTCTTGCAATAATCGATACTATCATGAGTCACATATAAGCATCAGAGTAAAACTTGTGAATTGACTTGCTTCCTGTGTGTCAAGTACACGTTCGCTGTGCACTAACTGTGTTCTTGCTTACGTAGCTGGGAGAAGGCTACTAGTGCTCGTGGCGTCCAATCTGTGCTGTGATCGTACGCGTGAGGCTAGACGATTAGTTTGGCCGCTGAGTTACGTGTGTTCCTCGTGTGTCATCGTGTGATATCTTGTTGTGTGTATATTGTGATCAAACGAGATCCGGACACAACACAAAGCCGGCTCAAAAGTTCCAAAAACACGTTTGAGCAGTCCAACCTGCTTTACGGCAATGGATGATGCCCGGGAACAGTTTGTGGAGCAACTCAAGTCTGCGCCAATGACTACTCCTAGATCTTTCTCGGATGGAGCATGAGGCAGAGTTTCCTGTCTGAGAGTGTAGAGAAAACGACTGTTGTGACGTAGTGATACGACTTTACATTTGGTAACGTTGAATTCACTATTATTGAAGACAGATCATCTGTGGGCTTCGTCAAGGGCGTTCTGGAGATCAAATAATGAGTGATTAGAACCGACCACACTTTAGACTTCACCTTCATGCAGAATCCTCATTTCATCCAGTCAATCGTACACTCAGAAGCACTGAACTCAAATATCGCTCTTAGCAGACCTCATCAGTAATGCACATACACCGTCCCGTACTAGCTTTCAACTACAGGCCCATCGTTTAGAAGGCGTGTGTGTATCAACCAGCTTATACAAGGTCCCGTAACCTGCACGGAAAACCTGACTTGGTGGGACACTTTCGATTGGAGTTGACAAGCAGTCAGCTGTGTTCCCGTTCGTTGCTGTCGCACTTAAAGCAAACTGACTGACTATATCTAAGAACGACCCCCGGAACAAACATGAAATTGACTACTCTGTTCATTCCTAGCATGAACTGGTTTGCACAATGGTAACACACACACCTTCCATTTGATGATTCCGGAGTTCAAATCCCAAGCGGGACAGTGGATGTGCACTAGGGATGTGGTATAATAAGAGCAAAACCCAAGTCTAGTGCTTCCGAGCGTGTGGTTGACTGAATGTAGTGAGTATTGTGCTTGAAAATTGATGACATTCTACAATCCGTTTTTAACAAAAGTAACAATGATAGGAACATTTCATTTGATCCCGCTTATTCTCAAAGTTCCTCTGGTGGCTTTTATTTCATACAGAATATCCGTGCCACGAATTCCACTGGCAATTGTAATCAGCCGGGTAGAAATGGAAATTAGGACGCATCTGTCAACAATACTGGTTTCAATGAATCCGTAATAGTAACATAGATACCATAGAACCAGTAAATCCCTGGAGCAGTATCAAAAGGAAAATTATTTAAAATGCACCTATTGAATTCGGGTGGCATGCTTTCCGCGCTTTAAGTTCTCCCGAAAAGTCTTTGATTCGAAACACGGTCCCTGGTCGGTAATGACATTTTCCGGGATACCGAATCGTGCAACCACGTTGTTTATAAGTATTCGAGCAATCGTTTCTCCTGTTTGAACTGAGGTTGGTATCGCTTCCACCCAACGAGATACGAGTTCGACCATCACGAAAATGTACTTGTTCCCGCTTGGACTAATCGGCAGAGGTCCAAACACATCCAATCCCCGGGTCTGAAGTACTCTGTGTGTCTATTGGTTGCATTGGCGGTGTTGATGGCGGNGGGACAGGAACGGATGTATTCAATTACATCCCGGCGCATCGTTGGCCAGAACACGCGACGTTGTAATGAGTCGAGAACTCGTTGCCGTCCCATGTGTGCTCCATCGTGTGCAAGCTGCAACACCTGTTCGCGAAGGTCGGCTGGGATGAATGGCAGTCGCCTAGGTTTCAGTCCGCGTTCCATGTCCACTTCAACCACCAAGGTCTCATTGTTCAAA